TGGATAGGCCCCTCAGCCCTCCCGTCCATTATCTGCCCTCCAACCGCCCAGTTCTGCCACATAACCCCCAGATCTGTCCCCCGAGGTCCCCCCAGTCCCCTTCAATCTACCCCCACCTACAACATCTGACCCCTAGGGTCCCCTCAGCCCCCAGATCTGCCCCCCCAAGCCCAAAGGTTTAACTCCCAAGGCCTTCCCCAACCCCAAGATCTGACCCCAACCCACCAGATCTGCCTCCTGGGGTCCCCCCGACTCCGTACCGGCAAGCTGGGCACCACGGCGGTGCCGGTCCTGCAGCGCTGCGCTGACACGGGCACTGGAGGTGCTGATGGCAGCCATGTTGGCAGCCAAATCATCCATCTCTGCCTCCATGCGTCGGAAGTCGACCTTCATCTTTCGGATGGTGTCTGGGGAGAAGGAACCAAACACTTGGGTCCCTCGGCTGCCCAGGGCCCCCCCCCCAGTCCCTCCCGGATGCCTGGGTTTCTCCTGCTGGGTGCTCACCAGTAGCGGAAATGAACTTGTTGTAGTTCTCGTAGAGCAGCGTCTGCATGTCACTGTCGAGGGCGCGGATCTCCCGCCCCAGCGCGGCCTCACGGGCCAACAACTGCCCCAGGGGGCATTCGCTGCGCACCTGGAGGGGGCAACACTGCACAACTGCCCCCCAACCCCACTTCCCCGCCGTGGGGCCCCACTACCCTCTGCGGTCCTCCAATTTACCCCCTGCAGCCTCCAATTGTCCCCCTGGGGTCCTCAACTGGCCCCCTGGGGCCCTAACTGCCCTCTGTAGCCCTTCTGGGATCCTCAGCTGCCCCCCCAAACCCCTAACTACCCCCCTCAGAGCCCTAACTACCACCTGGGGAGCCCTAACTGCCCCCCAGGCCCCTAAATGCCCCCCTGCCCCGGCTCCCTTCTGGGATCTGGAAATGTCCCCCAGAAGTCTCCTTCTGCCCTCTGAAGCCTTCCTGGGATCCTCACCTGCCCCCCCAGGCGCCCTAACTGCCCCTGGCCCTCCCAACCACTCAGAGGGGCCCAATACTGTCCTCATAGAGAAACACACGGTATCCTGAAGAGTGTCTATGGAAGAATATCTACAGGGTCCCCGCAGGGTCCCTTTGTGGGGTCCCCTTAGGTTCCTGGGGGTGGCCTGGGGGTCCTTCGGGGGCCCTGCAGAGTCCCTCTGGCCGGGTCCACGGGGCGCGCCCAAGGACCCCTTTAAGGGGCGCCAGGGACCTTTTCAGGGGGTCCCACAGGGCTCCCACCGCCCCCTTCGGGGGGCCCTGCAGGGTCCCTGGGGCCGACCCGGGGGTCCCCGGAGCTCCCTCTCGGGGGTGGGGGGGTGTCTGCGGCCTGGGTCTCCACCACGACCTGGGGGGCTCCCGCGGGGGGGGGTGGTGGTGGTGGTGTGTGAGGTCGCTGTGGGGTCAAAGGTCACCTTCGTAAGGAAAACTTCCGGGTCGAAGTGGGGCCCGTTGATGTCGGTGGGGTCCGGGGCTGCCTCCATCGCCTCCGCCGCGGACGGGCCGTAGTACCGCTGGAGCGGCCCGTGAGGACGCCGCCACCCGCTACCGCTGCCGGCCTCGGGGCTACCCCCAGCCCCGCTCCCCGCCACCTCCACCTCCGCCATCGCGCCGGCACTTCCGGCCGTCTCCGTTACTTCTGGCCCTTCCCCTAAGCGTCACTTCCGCCGGAGCGTCCCCACGTC